TTTGGAGAGGTTTTTGCTATAGGAAGTGTGTGCTCGCTGGAAAGACAGAGAGAAACAAGAGACAGAAAGCAGTCATGCTCCCTGGGGGAATGGCCATGCCACAGTCCCTTCTCATGGGATCTTGGGCACGCACACACACGTGCCCGGAGTAAGTTTAAGCCACCAGGTCCGGGACACGAACCTCGGTCGACTACATGGGAGTCCAGCAACATAGCCATTACGCTAACTGCTGGTCCCGTAAACAAAATTATTTTAAGTAGGGCCAGGGAAAATGGCAATGTGAGTCTATCTAATAGGTGGGGCGTGCAGTTGGCATGCAAGAACCCACAGTACTACAGCTACGGAAAAGGTGCAGAGAACGACAGGGTAACAAAGATGCAATCAAAGGGGGTGGCTAAGGCACTGGACTCCCTCGTGGCCGACTGCAGTTTGAGTCCCAGACCTGGAGGCTTGGTTTCTCACTTTCCCTCTCTCTGTGTCCAGTGAACTCACGTGCCCTACAGCAAATGAAAATATTTAATAACAAGGACCACCGGATAGTATAATGGCTACGTCACCGGACTCCCACATAGTTGACCACGGTTCTAGTCCCAGACCCAAGAGCTTAAAACTCACGCCAGGCACCTGGGCAAGTGTGCTCAAAATCCCGAGAGGAGAATGGAGAAGAGATTGTGGCATGGCCATCCTCCCAGGGGTGATCTCTCACTTTCTGTCCCTTTGTCTATATCTTTCTGGCAAGTGTGCACATCCTATCGCAAAAGTCTCTCTAAAAAAAAAAAAAACAATAATAATACATAAAACTTGGGGCCGGCAGGTGGCATGGACACTGGACTCCCACATGGCTGACCGTGGTTCGAGACCTGAACCTGGTGGCCTTGCTTTCTCACTTTCCCTTCCTCTCTCACTCTCCCCCTCTCTTTCTCTGTCATTCTGTCCCTCTCTGGTCAAATTAAAATTAATTAAGTTAAATAAAGTAATCATGAAAAATATATACATAAAAATTAAATAATTATTTTAAAAGATGCAATCAAAACAGAAAAAAGAACAGTGGCCTCTTGGAGTACAGTTTGCTTGAAAAGAAGAAACTTTTTACGTGACATTTCATGTATCGATGCTTTAAAATATAACCTGGTAAGCACTAACTCCTCGAACTGCAAGCCCTGACTGGCAAGGTCCTGTTCTGTTAAACTCTGAGAGCACATACGTTCTAAGGTGAGCTACAAAAAGAGAAAGCGGAGAAAGACCCAAACTGTCCGAACATTCAGAGGAAGAGACGAGGTCAGTCTGCAAGTTCTGAGTCTACCGGGAGGTCCCTGAAACTCTCATTCTGTGCAGATGACAGACCCCGGAGGAAACTGGCAGGCAGGTGGCCCTCCCTGCCACCTCCAGCCTCTGAGAGCCTCTCCCTCGAGCCAGGTCAGGCCAGCTCCCAGCCCGGAACTTGAGGCTGTGGTTACTGACTACTGGGTTTACAGGAGCTTTACGGAGTTGGCTGTGGTCTTGCGGCACACCTCGAGACAGAAACGGGAACCACTATCAGGCTGTACCCAGGAGGACAGGGTACGGGGACAGACAGAGTGCCCATCTGTCACCCCCAGGGACAGCCTCCTTGATGTACACAGCTGCCCCCACCTCCTAGGAGAGCCAGAATGCTTCGAAGAGACCTTTGCCGGTCTGCAGGTGGCTCTCAGTAGTGCAGTCTGGCCTGGCCGCCCAACTGAAAACGAACCCCTGAAAAAAAGACGTTTCTAGGCTTGGCCAGAGGGAAGCCTGAGCCCAGTGTGAATAGACCCCCTGGGGTCGGCGTGAGGTCAGGGGGAGAATGCAGGGAGGCCTTTGCTTCTTGTGAACTCTGCCCTTCCTCATATTTAACCATGACATAATACGGTCGGCTCTATTTGAGCCTCATCGATTTAGCAAAGGTGATCGCTCCCTGAGCCCAGAGGAGCAGAGGTGGCCAAGGACTGGCCGTCTCCTCCTTGGTCGGGGCCACCATGCTTGGTTCCTAAGTCAGGAGGTGGCCCCAGCGCACCCCAGAAGATAGAAGCACGAGACGAGCTTGGTCAGCCCCGAGCTCACCGCTGCTGGAAGCGGCTGGCAGTCTCTCTGTGGCGCCCCTTTCAGCACCCCGGGCGGGGAGACCTCGCTCAGGCAGTGGGTACAGGAGGGGCCTCTAGAAATCTAGTGATGACAGAAGTCGTGGGAACTTGACCTACTTCCCTTTCTTCACTTCGATAAATGGGTTTACGAGCTCCCAGCCTCGCTGACTGGAAGAGCGACACGCATCCTGTGACCACAGCGATCCATAGGACCCCTCTGGGAACGCTGCCTCCTCCCAGAGGCCTCTGCGCCCAGCAGGTGGTTGTCTCCAGGGTGGGAGGGTTTAGAAAGAGGCTCAGTGACCTGTAGGTCTTAACCGCTCCCCTGGCCTGACGGCTGCTTGGCTGGGTAGGAGAGCAGTAGGAAACCGCCCTCCGCCATGGGCTGGTGGTGGAGGGAGAAGACAGCAAGGACAGGCCAGGTGGTGGTGCAGAGTGAGGCGGACCCACGCAGCAGAACGGCCGGGCTCACGCTCTGGGACCCCTGGCACGTCAGGCACCTGCGCACATGCCCGGGGGCCCGGCAGCTGGGACTGGAGGGGGTCACCACGTACAGCCTTGTGGGGGGCCGTTCTCTCTTTTTCTTCTTCGCGAGAGAAATGAGTAGCTTGGGCCAGTGGGTGGCACAGAGGTGTAGGTGCTGGGTCCCACATGCCGACTGTGTTTCAAGTCCTGGACCCAGCAGCTTGACAATCACACCTGGGGGGGCCAATAGGTGGTGTGGTGGTGAAGGTGCTGAACTCCCACAGGTCTGACCACAGTTCGAGTCCCGGACCTGGCGGCTTGCTTTCTCACTCTTCCCACCCCCACCCCCCCTTTGGTGATCATGTGTGCCCTGTAGCAAACTGAAAAATAATAACAATGGGAATCAGCCAATGGTGCAGCACTTACATCGCTCAACTTCTGGGACCAGCAGTTAGCGTAATGGCTATGTCGCTGGACTCCCATATAGTCAAACGCGGTTCGCATCCCGGACACAGTGGCTTAAACTCACACCGGGCACGTGTGTGTGCGTGCCCAAGATCCCGAGAGGAGAATGGAGGAGAAGGAATTGCGGCGTGGCCATGCCCCCTGGGGGTGATTTCTCACTTTCTGTCTCTCTCTGTATTTCTGGTGAGCGCACGTGCCCTATAGCAAAAAAAAATAAAAAAAAATTAAAAAATCGCTCAACTCCCATATGGCCAGCCACGGTTCAATTCCTGGACCAGGTGGTTTCAAATTCACACTGGGTACAAGGGCATGCCCAAGATGCCGGAAGGAGGAGGGAGCGTGATGGTGGCATGGCCACCCCGGGAGGGGTGATTTCTCACTTTCCCTCTCACAGTGTCTGTCTGTCCCTCTCTGAGCACATGCGCCCTAAGGCAAACCAATGATTATAAAAATGATGATGATAAATAAAATAAAATAAATAATTCTTTTTAAACAAAGAAAATCATGTTGGGTGCATGTGAGTGCTTGCCCAGAGTCCCAAGAAGAGAATGAAGGAGGAGGGACTGTGGGTGGCCATCCCGCTGGGAGATCATTTCTCTCTTTCCTCTTCTCCCTCTCTGACGAATGCACATGCACTATAGCAAAACAAAACAAAACCAAAAAAAAGAGGGAAGAAATAAAAAATAAAAATAAAGAAATAATCACTAAACTTGTAGATTTAAAAAAAATTTTAAAAAGATGGGCCCGGCAGGTGGCAAGGTGGTTAAGGGCTCTGGACTCCCCCCCTGGCCGACCTCGGTTCGAGTCTTGGACTTGGTGGCTTGCTTTCTCACCCCTCTCCACCCCCGCACTCTGTCACTCTCTGGCCAAAATTATAATGAATAAATAAATAAAATCAAATAAAAATAATTCTAAAAAAAAGAGAGAGAGAGAGAGAGACAGAGAAAGCAAAGCAAAGCAGAGAGGCCAAGGGAAGCTGAAGCAAGAGGTATCAGAGCTTAAGAGAAAGCCAGACGGAGGGGAGGTGCGGCGGCCCCTCCTGCACGCTCCGAACCCTGACTGCCTCTCCTGGCGCTCGGCCAGTCCCGGGGCACCTCGGCACCACAACCACAAGCCCACAGCCCAGCCCTCCCTACACAGCTGAGCAGCTGCGGTCCGGGTGAGCGGGCTTCTGAGAAGGAGCAGGGGGCAAGAGAAAAAAGCCACCAGATGCCTTCTTCCCTTGTCTCTGTGCACGCTCTAGAGATCAGCTGGCCTTCGCCCGACACAGACGTAGCCGCCGGGCCACCACACGAGCTGCCACGCTCGTGGCAAAGGCCGGCAGGGGAGCCAGGTCTCCGTCACGTGCTCCGTCACAACACACCCCCAACCGGCCCGCGTGGCCCGCCTCCCACACGGTGCCCCACAGGCAGAGGCGCCCAGAAGTGCCCTCTCCTACCTCCAACACCGGGACTCGGCTCGGAACCCCTGGACGTTGTTGTCCCCTCCGATCAGGTACACGAAGTTGTTGAGCACCGCGATGCCCTGGTTGGACATGCGGGGCGCCAGGGAGGCGGTGAAGTGCTTCCACTCCCCCAGCAGGGGGTTCAGGTACTTGGCCTGATCGCTGAGAACGGTGGATGGTGTCGAGTGGATGCCCCCGAAGCCCACGACGCACTGGAAGTCCGACCGCAGCTCCGTGTGCGGGCCCTGCAGGCTGGGCTGCAGGCTCTCGTTCCGGTGGTACATGAGGGCGCTGGCCACGGTGTCCCTCAGCGGGCTGGGGTCCAGCTTGTCGTGCAGCCGCTGCAGGACCTCGGCTTCCATCAGGGGGAAGCGTACCGTCTCCAGGAGCTTGGGGGGCTCGTGCAGCGAGATCTGGTCGGCCTGCACCTGCTCCGGGGTGTAGTGGTAGAGCAGGGCCCCCTCATACACCTCGGTCTCGCGGGAGACCTCCAGGCGGTTGCTGCTGAGGAGGGAGTAGACCTTCTCCAGGGGAAGCTGGCGGTACTTGTCAGTCCGGGAGAAGGTCACAAAGTGTTTGAGGATGTAGGCGTCCAGCTGCTCCGTCAGGCGGTTCAGGTCGAACAGCTCTGCCAGCCGGTAGACATCGAGGATGTTGTCCTCGTCCACCCAGGACATGAGGAAATCGCAGCAGAAATGGATGATCTCTGGGATCTGCGAAGAGGAGACATGCACTGAAGCCTGGGTGGGCAAACGGTGCCTGGGGGTAGGAGACAGGAGGCAGCCCAGAGACCATCTACACGGCGTCCCCGGCAGCTGCCTGCACCCCCAGGGGGAGCAAAGCACAAGCCCTCCCGCTTTGACTGCCCAACCTTCCCCAACACACTAGGGATGACTGGAGCTCGCTGCAGGCTGACTGGGCTATTATTATTATTATTATTATTATTATTATTATTATTATTATTATTTTAGAGGTTTTTGCTATAGGGCGTGTGCGCTCGCCATAAAGACAGAGACAGAGAGACAGAAAGCGAGACATCACCCCCCAGGGGGGATGGCCACGCCGCAATCCTTTCTCCTCCATTCTCTTGGGATCTTGGGCATGCACTCACATGCACCCGGCATGAGTTTAAGCCACCAGGTCCAGGACTCGAACCACAGTAGACTACATGGGAGTCCAGCGATATAGCCATTACACTAACTGCTGGTCCCTGGGCTATTATGATTATTACTATTTTTAGAATGATTTGTTTAATTTTGGGACCAGCAGATGGCATAATGGTTATGTCGCTGGACTCCCACGTAGTCAACCGAGGTTTGAGTCCCAGACCCAGCGGCTTAAAATTCATACAGGGCACATGTGCGTGTGTGCCCAAGATCCCAGGAGGAGAATGGAGGAGAAAAGGATTGTGGTGTGGCCATTCCCCTTGGGAGTGATTTCTTGCCTTCTCTCTGTCTCTGTCTCTCTAGCGAGCCCTATGGCAAAAATTTCTCTTTAAAAACAAAACGAAACGAAAACAAACTCACCCTGGGCACGTGTGTATGTGTGTCCAAAATCCCAAGAGGAGGATGAAGAAGGGAATGTGGTGTGATCATCCCCCCAGGGGGTGATTTCTCACTTTTGGCCTCTCTGTCTCTATGGGTGAGTGCATTGTACCCTATAGCAAAAATCTCTCTCTTAAAATTTTTTTTAAAAAATTTTATTTACTATTTTTTTTTTTTTAACTTGATCAGAGAGAAACAAAGAGAGAAGGAGAAAGGGAAAGTAAGAAAGCCAGTCGTGGGAACCAGCAGTTAGCATAATGGCTATGTCACTGGACTCCTACGTAGTCAACCGCGGTTCGCATCCCGGACCCGGTGGCTTAAAACTCACGCCGGGTGCGTGTGCGTGCGTGCCCAAGATCCCGAGAGGAGAATGGAGGAGAAGGGATTGCGGCGTGGCCATCCCCGCTGGGGGGTGATTTCTCGCTTTCTATCTCTCTGTCTCTGTCTGTCTGGCGAGCACATGCGCCCTATAGCAAAAACCTCTCCAAAAAAAAAAAAGAAAAGAAAGCAAGCCAGTCGCCAGGTCTGAGACTCAAACCACAGTCAGCCATGTGGGCGTCCAGAGCCCTTTCACCACTATGCCACCTGCTGGCCCCATGGCTGGCTGGGTTTAAATCCCAGCTTGGAAATGTATCGAGAGGGTGATGTGTGGCATGTTCTTATCCTTTCTGTGCCTAAGTTTCCTTGTCCATAAAAAAGGGCGAGGACTACCCTGGAAATTAAGAGTGTGTGGAGGCATCGGGCACAGAGCAGGCCCTCGGTGTGGGTCAGCTGCCTTTTATGGGGTTGTCAAAAAATCCTGATGCATTTTTGCATAGAAAAAAAATGCGTCATGACTTTTCCCACAACTCGACAGGTCAAAGGTACTAGTTCTCCCGAGAAATACAAGCTGTCTCCCGCAGGGCCAGATGTCCTCGGTAAGAAAGGGCCCAGCCTCCTCCTCAGGGCTTTATTTGAAAGTGCTGACAGGTGGCGTGGTGGTTCTGGAGGCTGGACTCCCACATGGATCACTGCGGTTCAAGTCCCGGACCTGGTAGCTTGCTCCCGCACTTTGTCTCTTTCTGGTCAACTTCAAAAAAAAAAGTAAAAATAATGACAAAAAATAAGATTAAATAATTTTTAAAAGAAAAAGAAAGACAGCACTGGGATTGAGACACACCCAGATTTCTCCTGCCAAAACTCCCATGGGGAAGCTCAGGTAGACTGCAGGCCCAGCGAGCCCACCCTCTTTCCCAGGAGCGGCCGCACCAGCCACACACACCTGCCACACGCCAGCCCCGAGTTCCAACTTGCCAGCAGAGTGAGCCAAGGGCACTGGCCAGCCCAGCACCCATCGCAAGACCCTGACTCAGATGTCTTGAAAGGCTGGTAGGCTCACTCACACATCCTGAGCCCCAGCCTGGGGGAGACCCAGTGGATGGCAGGGAGTGCACAGGTTCCTAGGCACCCAGTCACCTTCCCCACCTGTGCAGAGAGGCTGGCCGACTGGTGGGAGGGTGAGTGGTATGACGGTGCTTACGTGGGAGGGAGCAGAGAATGAGGCCACAGGCCCCCCCGCAGGATGCTAAAGGACGCCCCGTGATCAGTTAACCAAAACATGGCAGGATGAAAGGACCCACGGGGAAGGGCTCCCAGGATAACAGAGGGTGCTGGTAAGTTCTTTAGGAAAACAGGATTTGAGAGTGTCTCTAGAAACAGAAATATCTGACTATCATCCACAAACTAAGCATTGCAGAGAAAAACTCTGCTGGTTTTTGAAGCTTGCCAATAAACTTTTTTCTTTTGTTGAATTCAAGAGTCATCTAAGAGGGTGGGTCCCACAGCTTAGTTGGGGAAACTGGGTCCCGTATGACTGACTGTGAGGTTCGAGTCCTGGATGCACCAGCCTGAAAAATACACGAGGTGCTTGCGTGCACGTCCCAAATCCCAACAGGGTGGGAGAGTGGAGAAGGAACTGTGGCGTGACCAGGCCCCACTGGCAGGTGCTTCATGGCACGCCTGCTCATTCATGCGCTCTCTCTTTCTCTAGCAAATGTGTGTGCCTCTGACAACTAAAACAGAAAAAATATATGCTGCCTCAAATCAAACTTACAAAAATATTTATGTATTTATTGATTGATTGATTGATTGATTTTTTTTGGAGAGGTTTTTGCTATAGGGCGCGTGCGCTCGCCAGACGGACAGAGACAGACAGAAAGACAGAAAGCAAGAAATCACCCCCGGGGGGATGGCCATGCCGCAATCCCTTCTCCTCCATTCTCCTTTCGGGATCTTGGGCATGCATGCACACGCGCCCGGCGTGAGTTTAAGCCACCGGGGCCGGGACGCGAACCCCTGTTGACTGCCTGGGAGTCCAGCGACACAGCCATTGCGCTAACTGCTGGTCTTTATGTATTTATTTTTGAGAGAGGTTTCTGCCATAGTGTGCATGCGTTGACAGCGAGAAATCACCCCCGGGGGGATGGCTACAGCATAATACCTTCTCTTCATTCTCCTCTCAGGATTTTAGGTGCACACACACACACGCCCGGCATGAATTTTAAGCAGCCGGGTCCAGGACTCGAACTGCGGCCGACTACATGGGAGTCCAGCGATGTAACCATTACGTGTTGCGGTTGTTAGTATTATTTTATGATTTCATCTTACTAGAGAGAGAAAGAGAAAGCAAGTCATCAGGTCCCACATGGGCAACTGCAGTTCGGGTCCCGGACCTGATGGCTTGCTTTCTCTCTGTCTCTCTCTAGTAAAATTTAAATCAATAAAGTTAAATAAAATAATTCTTAAAAAGAAAAAAAAAGAAAGAAAAGAAAAGAAAGGCCTCTAACACTTGCATGTGATATGCCAAGGCCTACTAGCTGCTGGGCAGGTCTGTGTCCCACCAAGTCCCCAGGACGCCGTTAGGGCCTACGAGCCTCCCCGTGACCATCTATCTCAGCACTTAGCAGATATCTCTGCTCTGCCTCTTCCTCCTAAAAAACCTACTTCTGATTTATCCAGAGCCAGGATCCTGGAGCCCAGACTGCCCTGAGAGAGGCCGAGCTGAGGCTCGTGGAGAAGCGGCTGCACCAGAGCCCTCCAACCTCTCGCCTCCCTCCTGCCAGGCAGAGCCTCGTGGAGGAACCAGGCTGTGCAGTAGCGCCCCCCGCCAAAGGCTCCGAAGGGGATGTACAAGCCTGGGGGGACCTAAGGAGACAGTCTCACTGGGATTCGGACCAGGCCCTTGGGACACCGCGAGGAGTCTGGTCCTAGGGCATGGCACGCAGGGGACAGGCCACCAACAGTCGCCAGTCTTAAACAAACATGACCTGTAGGCCTATGACTCAACACTGCAATGCCAAGTAAAATGGACTTTTTTTTTTTTAAGGGGATTATTTTAATTAACTTTATTTATTTATTTTTAATTTGACCAGAGAGGGACAGGGTAAGAGAGAGCGAGAGAGAGAGACGGAAAGTGAGAAAGCGAGCCATCAGGACTCGAACCGTGGGTCCAGGACTCGAACTGTGGTCAGCCATGTGGGAGTCCGGTGTCTTTAACCACCACGCCACCTGCCAGCCCACTATATCCCCCCCCAAGGAAACTTGCTCTAAAACGGTATCACACAGAAGCCCACGATGTTCCAAACAAAGGCAGTTGTTCCCAAGATGGCCTCTGAGGCCCGGGGGCAGACCGCCCAGAGCTCCCAACAGGAGGAGACCGAAGGCGTCCGAGCTGACACGCAGGACAGGAGAAGTGGGGTCTGGGAAGGTGGTCTGGTGTCAGGGGCATGGTCGTGGGTGCAGGGAAGAGAAAAAGAAGGCAGGCAGGAACCCACTGGGAGGCAGACATGGAGAGACGGGCCGGGACAAGGGTGAAGGAAACGGAAACGGGGAGCAGGAACAGCCGCGGGCGGCACCGACGAGGATGACTGGCCTAAACGTGGACACCGGGAGTGAAGATGGCGGAAGGGCTCACGGAGCCAATTCCAAGCCCTGGTGCCTGCGGAATCGTCGTGGGCCAATCAGAACCAGGAGCCTGGGAGGGGCTGCAGGAGGGCAGCAGGTGTGGAGGAGGAGGCTGGCTGTGCTGCAGTGTCTGGGGTGTTCTGGAGACAGCTGAGGAGGGGGGCAGAGCTGGGCAAGGACTCCCAGAGCAACAAGGACGTGGATGCGGGGCAGAGGAGAACAGGGGCACAGCCGCGACGGTGCGGAGGCCACCTGGGAAGGCCCCAGGTTCACATCTCGAGGTCACCCTGAACACAAAGGCTGCACGCGTGTCTGTGATCCTGGATGGCTGAGGCTGGAGCTGGAATTGCAGCGTGGAGACACAGCTGAGGGTGCCTGTCCCTCTACGGAAGAAATAAATTGGGATGTGTAGATGGCATAATGGCTATGTCACTGGACTCCCATGTAGTCAACCACAGTTAGAGTCCCGGACCTGATGGCTTAAACTCACCAGGCACGTGTGCATGCGTGCCCAAGACCCCGAGGAGAGAATGGAAGAAAAGGGACTGTGGCATGGCTGTCCCACCGGGGGCTGATTTCTCACTTTCTATCTCTCTGTCTGCCTCTGTCTGTCTGGCAAGCGCACACACCCTATCGCAAAAACCTCTCTCAAAAAAAAAAGGAGGCGAAGGGATTGCAGCATGGTCATCGTCCCTGGGGGGCAACTTCTTGCTTTCTGTCTCTCTGGCTCTGTCTCTCAAATGAGTGCATGCACCCTATAGAAAAAAATCTCTCTAAAAGCAAAACAAAACACAGGGGCCCCAGACCAGCCTAAGCATACAACACTCAGTGGCGTGAACCTCTAATCCTAGCTACCTGGGAGGCTGGGGCAGGACTGACATGGCAGAACCTGTCAAAATAAACAACCTTGGGACCAGCAGTTAGTGTAATGGCTATGTCGCTGGACTCCCACATAGTCAACCGCGGTTCGAGTCCCGGACCTGGTGGCTTAAACTCACGCCGGGCGCGTGTGCGTGCGTGCCCAAGATCCTAAAAGGAGAATGGAGGAGAAGGGATTGCGGCGTGGCCATCCCCCCTGGGGGGTGATTTCTCACTTTCTGTCTCTCTGTCTGTCTCTGTCTGTCTGGCGAGCGCACACGCCCTATAGCAAAAATAAATAAATAAACAAACAAACAAACAACCTTTGTTTTCTCTCTCTTATTAAAAAAAAAAAAAGGAATAATATCCAGAAATTATTTTTTTTTTTTTTTTTGAGAAAGAGAGGTTTTTGCTACAGGGCACATGTGCTCACTAGAGACAGACACAAGAAATCATGCCCCGGGGGGATGACTGTGCCACAATCCCTTCTCCTCTAGTCTCCTCTTGAGATTTTTGGGCACCATGTGCATACACCCAGCTTGAGTTTCAAGCCACTGGATTTGGGATTTGAACCATAGCCACACGGGAGTCTAGTACCTTAACCACTGTGCCATCTGCTGGTCCCAAAAAATAGTTCTGTCATAAAGGCTAACTCCATCTACTCATAATGCCAACTACAGCAAGGCGAGGGGTGCTCAGATCAACCCAACAAGCAAGTGTAGACCACCTCCACCCGCCAGTCCGAGAACAGCCTTGCCTAGAAGGGGCCTCCAGATGCCCCCAACAGGTTGGTTCTCCTATGACTGGAGTTCTAATTGCCCCAAGCACTCTCTCATCTAAAAAAAGTTACAAAGATGAACTTGTAACATTTCACTTCACTTCTGAGAAATGTCCGAAGAAGTGACTTTTTTGGGTTTTTTGGAGAAACTTTTGCTACAGGGTGTGTGCACTCACTGGAGAGACAGAGACAGAAAGTGCAAAATCAGCCTCCCAATGGGATGGCCATGACGCAATCCCTTCCCCTCTTCTCTGCTCGGGATTTTGGGCACACATGCATACACACCTAGTGTGAGTTTTAAGTTGCCAGGTCCAGAACTCGAACCATGGTTGACTACGTGGGAGTCCAGTGATATAACCATTACACCATCTACTGGTCCCAGGAAGGGACTCTTAACTTGGATCAGGTTCTGACTAGTGCTCAAGGGCCCAGTCCTGTGGAGCTGCACCCACACCACTGAGCACCAGTAGAGCCTAACGAAAACCAAGGCCCACTGCCATAGCCTTGGGACACTTTGAATTCTGTAGGAAAACAGCAGGGTCAGCAGATGGCGTAGTGGTTATGTCACTGGACTCCCACAAGGCTGACTGTGGTTCGAATCCCAGATCTGGTGGCTTAAAAATCATGCTGGGAGCAAGTGCCCCCCAAGGTCCCAGGAGGAGAATAGAGAAGGACTGCAGTATTGGCCATGTCCGGGGGCGGGGGGGTGATCTCTCTTGGTGAGTGCACACACCCTATGGCAAAATCCTCTAAAACATAAATAAATAAAAATTAAAAATAAAAGAGAAAAACATTTAAAAGAGATCAAAGCAGCCAAGGTAATGAATAAGCAGAGTGGCAGGGAGCTCTGTCAGACGCAGGAGCACAGGCCCGCCCACTGGCTTTGTGCAGCTCCAGGATCTCTTCAATAGCTTGGACCCAGGAGGAGGCCAAGGAATGAGCAAAACAGCAGAGGATGGCAGGGGGCATCTCCCTGAGCTCCCAGAACAAAACCCAAGAGCCTCCTCCCTACTATGGCTTCCTGGCCTCCTTCACTGCTTGGTGTCCTCACTGTCCCTCCTCTCACGCCAATGACACTGCCTGGCAGGCATCCTGGGCACCTCTGGAAACCCTGCCTATACATGTGCTATGGCTTACTTGTCCCCTCTAAAACTCACGTTGAAATTCAATGCTGGGCCAGCCAGAAGTTAAGGCAGCTGGATACCACGTGGCCAGCTGCATGGTTCGAGTCCTAGACCTGACAGCTTAAAAACATGCTGGGTCAGGACCAGCAGTTGGCGTAATGGCTATGTCGCTGGACTCCCATGTAGTCAACCCGCGGTTCGTGTCCCGGACTCAGTGGCTTAAACTCACGCCGGGTGCGTGTGTGTGCGTGCCCAAGATCCCGAGAGGAGAAAGGAGGAGAAGGGATCGCGGCGTGGCCATCCCCCCTAGGGGGTGATTTCTCGCTTTCTGTCTGTCTCTCTCTGTATTTCTGGTGAGAGCACGCGTCCTATAGCAAAAACCTCTCAAAAAAAAAAAAAAACAAACAAAAACAAACCCAAAGAAAAACATGCCGGGTCTGTGTGTATGCATGCCCCAAATTCCAAAAGAATAGAGAAGGAATTGAGGTAGGGCCATTCCTCCCTAGGGGTGATTTCTCACTTTCTCTCTCTGTTTCTTTCTGGAAAGTGCACATGTCCCATAGTAAAGAAGGGATTGCGGCGTGGCCATCCCCCCTGGGGGGTGATTTCTCGCTTTCTGTCTCTCTGTCTCTCTCTGTCTGTCTGGCGAGCGCACGCGCCCTACAGTGAAAATCTCTCAAAAAAAACCACATCAGGCACAGGTGCACATGTGTCCATAATCCTGACAAGATGAAGTCGGGGAGAAGATACTGTGGTGTGATGGCACCCCACCGGGCGGTTGCTTTCTTCCTCTTTCTTTTTCTGGTGTGTGATTTCCGGCAATTAAAAAGAAACTGAAAAATGTGGGCCAGCCCGTGGCGTGGTGCCTGGGGCACTGGACTCCCTGTCTGTCTGGCGAGCGCACGCGCCCTACAGTGAAAATCTCTCAAAAAAAACCACATCAGGCACAGGTGCACATGTGTCCATAATCCTGACAAGATGAAGTCGGGGAGAAGATACTGTGGTGTGATGGCACCCCACCGGGCGGTTGCTTTCTTCCTCTTTCTTTTTCTGGTGTGTGATTTCCGGCAATTAAAAAGAAACTAAAAAATGTGGGCCAGCCCGTGGCGTGGTGACTGGGGCACTGGACTCCCACGCGGATGACAGCAGGTCACGTCACCGACTCAGCAGCTGGGCTTTCACTGTCTCTCTCTCACTCTCTGTCTCTGTCTCTCTCTCTGGTGAGTACATGTGCTGCCCTATAGCAAATTAAATAATAATAATAGTAATAAATCGAATGTCATGGTAGCTACATGAACAGGTGGGACCGAGGGTCAGCCAGCAGTATGATGGTTAAGGTGGCTGGACCCCTCACGGCTGACTGTGGTTCAAGTCCTCGACCTGGTGGCTTGACATGCAACATCCTGGGAAAAGAATGGAGAAGAAGGGATTGTGGCATGGCCATACCTCTGGTGGCTGATTTCCCACACTTTCCTTCTCTCTGTCTCTCTCCAGTGAGCACACACTCCCTACAACAAAAACAGGGAAAAAATGAAGGTGGGACCTTAAGGGGTAATTGGGCTACGAGGGCTTTACCATGACCACAGAGCGGGCTCCTGAGAGAAACTAAGTCCGCTCCCATCTGCTCTCCCATGCGAGCTTGCTGCCTGACACGGCAAGAAGGCCCCTACCGAGGCAGCCTCCCAGTCTTGAACTTCCCAAGCTCGAGATAAACTTCTGTTCCTTACAGACTGCCCTGCCCGTGGCATCCTGTTGCAGTGGCAGCGACCAGACTGAGACGGCGCGGGCTGGGCTGCTCCACGAGGCGGGTCTCACCTGAAGCGGTCAGGCGGCCACCAGCGTCTCCTGCACGTTGCCCAGGCTGAGCTCCAGCTCCGAGGTGTAGATGAAGTGCAGGATCTGGCACATGGCGTTGTAGGACACGCCGTGGATCAGGACCTCTTCCTGCTCCATCTCCTTCAATCCCCCAGCAAACATTCCTCTGCGAAGTGAAGAGACAAGACCACACGATGACGCCAGTGAGGGTGTGCGCCCGGGGCACGGAGCATGAGCGTGCTCCGAGCAGGGGATGGGCGGAGAGGCGGCCAGCACGGGGCGGAGCCGACCCTGTGGGCTCTGAATAAACAGCCTGCACACGTGAGTCGCCCTGGCCGGGATCCTGACCAAGGGCAGCCGTCCCAGGTATCACTGCCAGGTATCACTTGACTCGGGTTTTTTTCCCCAGAGGTTTTTGTCTTAGGACGGGTGTGCTGGGGGGTGGGGACAGAAAGGGTGAGGGGGAACGAGAAATCACCCCCTGGAGGGATGGCCATGCCACAATCCCTTCTCCTCCACTCTTCTCCTGGGATCTTGGGCATGCTCACGTGCACACGTTCTCGACATGACTTGCAAGCCACCAGGTCTAGAACTTGAACTACGGTCGGCCGTGTGGGAGTCCAGCAATGTAACCGCTAAGCCACCTGCTGGCCCCTACGGTCAGCCGTGTGGGAGTCCAGCAACTTAGCCACTGCACCACCTGCTTGTCCCCTGACTCCTTTTCTCACGGACTAGGGCATCCCATGCGAGCCTCCTGAGGGCAGATCCACGCCTGGCTGGCTTCCTGCTGTATCCACTGGCACAGTTCCTGATCAGGGCAGCTGCAACTCAAGGGCACAGTTTCAAAGAATGAATTCACTGGGACCAGCAGTGAGCGTAATGGCTATGTCACTGGACTCCATGTAGTCAACCATGGTTCGAGTCCCAGACCCGGTGGCTTAAACTCACGCCGGGTGCGTGTGCGTGCGTACTCAAGATCCTGAGAGGAGAGTGGAGGAGAAGGGATTGCGGCGTGGCCACTCCCCCTGCAGGGGTGATTTCTCACTTTCTGTCTCTGTCTGTCTCTATCTTTCTGGAGCACGTGCCCTATAGCAAAAACCTCTCAAAAAAAAAAAAAAAAGTGATTCTTATTTAGACTTGGGTTTGATTCCCAGGTACTTCATTATGTATGGGCAAATATTAAAAAAAAAAAAAAATCCCAAGCCTGGAACACTCTGGTCCCAAGCATTTCAGATAAGGGATACTCAACCCATTTTCATCAAGGTTCTACCAAATGTCAAGCACCACTCAAAGAACAGGAGGGGTAAGTGTGAAGTAGACCGGTCAGATTCCTGCTACAAGTTTAATGGTAGTGGAGGGAGGATAAGACAAGAAACGAGGTATTTCAGAGTGTGAACAATGCTAGCAAGGAATTCAGCAGAGCATCTAACCTGGGGCAGGCAGATAGCATGGGACCAAAGTGGGAAGATGGCATGGTAGTTAAAGGCACTGGACTCCCCTGTGGTCAACCATGGTTCAAGTCCCAGACCTAGCGGCTTACTTTCTCATTTTCTATCTCTCTCTCTCTCTCTGGTCAAATTAATAATAATAATAATAATTAATAAAGTTAAATAAAATAATTCTTAAAAAAAAAAAAATTAGGCCTGCTGGTGGCATGGTGGTTGGGGCACTGGACTCCCACTTGGCCAACCATGGTTTAAGTCCTGGACCTGCGGGCTTGCTTTTCCACTCTCCCTTTCTCTCTGTCTCTCTCTGGTCAAAATTGAAGAATAATGATAATAAATAAAATTAAAAATAAATAAATCTGGGACTAGCAGTTAGTGTAATGGCTATGTCGCTGGACTCCCATGTAGTCGACCGCGGTTCGAATCCCAGACCTGGTGGCTTAAACTCACGCCGGTGCGTGTGCGTACGTGCCCAAGATCCCGAGGGGAGAATGGAGGAGAAGGGATTGCGGCGTGGCCATCCCCCCTGGGGGGTGATTTCTCCCTTTCTGTCTCTCTCTCTCCCCCTGTATGTCTGGCGAGCGCACGCGCCCTATGGCAAAAACCTCTCAAAACTAACTAACTAACTAAATAAATCTAAAAAAAGGAAAGAGTAACTACCTGGAAGAGGAATGGGTGGAGCAATGAAAAGGGACAGCAAAGGCCCCCTGCGAAGATCCAGGACCTAAGGAAATGCTGGCCTGGCCACGGTACTCGGCAGCCAGGGGAGGGCACTCCAGGTGGTGGAGACAGGTGCATAGGTCCCGGAGCACTTGGCACGTGAGGCGGCCAGCCTGGGAGGTGGGGTGTCAGCAGGGGCAGCTGCATTCTGCATCTTACTTGTTAGTAAGATGTCCTGGAGATCGATCCTTCTCTGTGTACACGCGGCTGCCCTGCTCTGTAAAGGCCGTCACCACGGCTTTAACCCACTCCCACTGGGGCACGTCTCCTCTTATTTCATGTGATGGATCGCCTCACCCCTGCGACTTTCCACTTACGTGCACCCAGGTTAATTCCTAGGCATGCAGCCGGTAGGCCAGAGGGCTGACGGACATTTACACTTAGGACTGACCCCCTGCCCTTTGCACATCACTTCCAACAGCAGGGCCAGGGCCTGCCCCACTCAAGCTCCGCCAGCCCAGGAAGACGTCAGCTCTAACTCTGCAGCCAGGACAGGGAGCAACCTTATTACAGAGGAACCAGAAAATCTCACTGCACGTTGAAGAGCTGTTCCTATATTCTTCCCCCTAAATAGTCTAGCCCTTTCACCAGTTTTCTATTAAACTGTTCAATCGATGTGTTAAAAGGTTTTTTTGCCATAGGGTGCACACACTTGACAGAAAGGAGAGAGACAGTGAGCTAGGACGTGAGAAATCACACCCCAGGGGGTGGCCCCACCACTGTCCCTTCTCCACTTCTTCCATTAGCTCTTCCACTCTTCTTTTGGGATTTGGGCACGCACATACATGTGCCTGGTGTTTTTTTTTGTTTTATTTGGTTTTTTTGGAGAGGTTTTTGCCATAGGGCGCGTGCGCTTGCCAGAAAGACAGAGAGAAACAGAGAGACAGAAAACGAGAAATCCCCCCCCAGAGGGGATGGCCACGCCGCCATCCCTTCTCCTCCATTCTCCTCTGAGGATCTTGGGCACGCACGCACACGCGCCCAGTGTGAGTTTTAAGCCACCGGGTCCGGGATTTGAATCGCGGTTGACTACATGGGAGTCCAGCGACATAGCCATTACACTAACTGCGGTTCCCATGCCCATTGTGTTTTTCAAGCTGCTGGGTCTGGGACTTGAACAGCAAAGTCAGCCATGTGGGATCCAGCCATCTTAACTTCACACCACCTTCTGGTCCTTTGTTTTTAATGCAGTCAAATTTATCATTTCCTTCCCTTACGTCTGAGTTTGGTATCAAACTTGTAAAGACCTTTTCATCCAGAAATTATTTAGAAAACCCTTCTCAGTTTTGTTGTTTTGAAATTGCCAGAGGGAGCAGGTTCTCTAAAGAGACGGGGGTAGGGGAAGAGGGGGGTAAAAACGCACCCACTAGGGACCAGCAGTTAGCATAATAGCTATGTCGTTGGACTCCCACGTAGTTGATCGTGGTTCGAGTCCCGGACTCGGTGGCTTAAACTCACGCCGGGCGCGTGTGCGTGTGTGCCCACGATCCTGAGAGAAGAAGGGATTGCGGCGTGGCCATCCCCCCTGGGAGGTGATTTCTCGCTTTCTATCTCTCTGTCTCTGTCTGTCTGACAAGTGCACACGCTCTATAGCAAAAACCTCTCCAAAAAAAAAAAGAAAAAAAAAAGAAGAAAAAGAAAAGGCACCCCCTATGGGAAATGGTCATGCCACAATCTCTTCTCCTCCCTTTCTCCATCATGTTGGAATGTTGGGCATGCACACACATGTGCCCAGGGTGTATTCTGTTTTGTTGTATGTATGTATTTTAATTTGACCAGAAAGGGACAGTGAGAGAGGGAGAAAACGAGAAAGCAAGCCACCAGCTTCGGGACTCGAACCACAGTCGGCCATGTGGGAGTCCAGCGCCTTTAACTACCACGCCACCTGCCGGCACCGCCCAGTGTGTTCATATGTCACTGAGACGTGAGCCACACAGTTAGCTCTGGGGCTTCCAGCCACCTTGATCACATGCCACAAGCAGCTGGCCCAGTCTCCATTTTTTCATTGTTGAATCTTTCGCAACTAAGATGGTTGATCTGGGCTGGCTCCGTGGCCTAGTAGTTAAGGGAACCAGGTCCCACCTGGCCAACCATGGTTTGAATCCCAGCCCTGGTGGCTTGAAAACGTGCCGGGTACATGTCCGAAATCCTGACAGGATGGAGAGATGAAGGGGGATGGCAGCACGACAGCCATTGGCCCGCTTTCTCCCTCTCCTTTCCGTCTCTCTCTGCAAGCACACGCACCCGCTGGCAATCAAAATAAGTAAATAAATAAAACTGTTGGCTCGCCTGGAATTTATTTTGGCATAAGGTTTCCCCCTCTCTATCTCTCTCTGGTGAGCACATGTGCCCTATAACAAGTTAAAACAATAATAATAATAATAGTAAGAAATAGAATTAAATCAGTAATTCTAAAACAGAAGAAAAAGGAATCGGCAGGTGGCATAATGGTTTCGTTGCTGGACTCCCACCGAAACAACCACGGTTTAAGTCCTGGGCCCAGCACCTTAACTCATGTCTGGCCTATCTCTCTCTGGTGAGCACATGTGCCCTATAACAAGTTAAAACAATAATAATAATAATAGTAAGAAATAGAATTAAATCAGTAATTCTAAAACAGAAGAAAAAGGAATCGGCAGGTGGCATAATGGTTTCGTTGCTGGACTCCCACCGAAACAACCACGGTTTAAGTCCTGGGCCCAGCAGCTTAACTCATGTCTGGCGTGTGTGCATGTGTGACCGAAATCCCAAGAGGACTGCGGCATGGCCATTCCTCCTGGGGGGTGATTTCTCGCTTTCTGTCTCCCTGGCGACCACAGGCACCTCTCTAAAAATAAATGAGTAACAATCAGAGAAAGGAGGCGAGCCCTGTGGTGCGGCATCCGCAATCCTCCGTGTCGCTGCAGCCACGTGGGGAGGTCTCGGGCTTGCAAGCCAAGTCTCCCTGGACACACTGGCTGCAGGCAGGCCTCGATCCAGGCTGGCTGCGGCTGAGGGTGGATCATGGCGTGAAGCTTCT